GCCTGGGGTTTGGGGTTGCCAAGCAGCCAAGTCTCCCTTAAGCCAGAGCCAAGGCCCAGACTAACGATTCGGGTGGCGAGGCCATGACCAAACCCTCGGGACTACTTGTGCCATCAGTGTTCTGCTTCTCTTTGCTCCCAATTGAGTCTTGATTTCCGACCCTGGCAAGAAAAAAAGGTTTCCGAAATTAGGGGTGGCCTTTTTGGGCGTCCTGATCATGAGGGGATCCTACTATTTGGGGTCTTTTATAGGGACCCCTATTTTCGTAAACCCCCATGTCTAACCTGCAGATGCAAGGTAAATGACGACGGTGAGCAGGAGCTGCCCGCTGATGCCTACAACCTGCTGTCAGCAGCCCGTGTTTCGCAGACCTGTTCGGAGCTTGTGAATGCATGTTCGTTCCCTTCCCAGCGATCTGAAAATTGCAAACGAGGCCGCGCTCCCTTCCTGGGTCGCGAATTTCATTGGCTCGGACTCAGGCTGATACTGCCCGTTGCTTCGGTGCAGTGGCGCAGCTCTACATGTCCAATGCCTTGCTGTGAGGCAGAGAGCAGGCCTCCAGTGACCCTGGTGCTCAACAAGGTAGACAAAGCTTCGGAGATGCGGTGGGTACCTGCCTCACAGCACAGTCACAGCCCATTCGCCCTGAAATTGCACACGCTTAGAGCCAATTCATCATAGACCAGGTCAGCTGATGAAGAGAGTCGCTCTCATGAGGTCATGTCCAGGGAACGGGAGTTCCGGACGCATGGCCCGAGCCTCCACCAAGTTGCAGTGCTCGTTGACGACTACATTCTCCGGTAGATAAAATCATCACATATGGACAGGCCTTAACAAGCCCTTGACACATCCTTTGGCATGAGAGTCCCAGCAATGAGGCCAGTTTGATGGCATCTTTTACACTTCCGCCCTGAAGTCGAACGGCATTGACTTCTGCTGAGCTTGTGCCCATCGGGCGTGCGCAGACTGCAGAGGGCCTGCCGTCACTGCTTGTCATCTTATCCAGGTCAGGCTCTTGGAACATTTGAAGACGAGGGCGAAGCCAAGGCAAGCGCAACAGTTGCCTCGGAGCAGGGGACAAGATGCAACGGCATGGTACTTTTACCATTCCTTTCCACAAGGCCGTGGCTGTATCCGGCGGACATGATCACTACCATGTCCCACACGGAGCAAGTCAGGCAGGTGAAAGCAGTAGAAAGGCATTCCGTATCACCTGACACTTGCTTCCTTCGTGAGTGCGTTTTTGTCAGGCAAGTTGTCAACACGCACCTCTTCAAGAGGTTCTCGCCTAGTTACGATGCAATTGTTGTGCATCGTTCATGCTGATACATCTTTGCAAGGTTTAATTCTGACGTCCCGTACAAGATTGAGCAGCAGACCGTTGGTGGCCCTCTTAGTGCAGCCAGTGAGGTCTGTATCTGCACTAGTTAGTTTCAACAGAGATGAACCAAAAGCAGGCTAGGACCACCACCAGGCCAACTGCTAGCATCAGGTTGGACCCCACGCTTGGATGGGTCACTGGTGATAGAACAGGAAATCATTGTGCCAGCCTTACGCCATGTCACGGCCTGGGGCAACGTGCTTTTTCCCCTTCAATGTGGCCGCTGCACGAGGTAAAAGACTCCGTCGTGGCTCGCATGATTTTGGGCGTGCGCAACAGCGTACTCCACGATATGAAGCAGCAGGCCAGCATCCATCAGACAAAACAGGTGTGTCAAATGTGTCAGCACTGTCAACACAGTGTCAACACATGTCAAAGACTCCTGGGCCTGCCCTTCCCAGGTGAGCGACACCTTGCAGCTACTTTGGGGAATTCCCGTCGAAGCTCGCATCTGGGTGAGGCCTTTGGGCCTTGGGGGCATCGGGTCTGCATGGTGCATGAGCTGGAGCTGCCGTAGGCCGCTAAAGCAGCGCCTTAGCAACAGCGACCTGGCTTTGCTGGGCCGGGGGTACGAGTCTCAACATGACTCGGCTGACGATGCATCAGCTCCGATGTCGCATCGCACCAAGGCCGAAGGTTGCAAAAGCACCGGCACCCTGAGATGTTGCTAACAAGCCGCAGTCTCGTGATCGTTTCCAAGCAGAAAGACGTCTCCTCTTGCCTGCGAGCGGTGACATGCAGAGCGCTCAAGGGAAGTTCGCAAGAGAGTTGGAGCGCCAAGCTGAAGCGCGCGCTGGCCTTTCTCAAGAGATCTTAAGGTCCTAAGGGGAGCGCTCCGGAGTCTTTCTACTTAAACAAGTGCATCTTGCTCGAGCATAAACAAACACGGAGGGTCAATTTATTTGTTCTCCACTTGACTGCGCAAACAAGACAAAAACCAAAAGCAGCAACCCGTTACAGGCCCCGGACCAGGCCGCAAGTAGCGCCATGCCGACCACCGCATTCAACAGCAACTGGTAGGAACTTTTGCAGTACTTGCGGAACTTAGCAGCCTTAGCAACACTTCCACTCTTTGTGAGGGATTGCTGCCTGGCACCAAAAAATGCCCGATCGGTAGGTTCTTCATGGGGTGCCTTGGCTGCAGCTTGGCACACCCCCAGAGTACCCCCAAGGGGAGGGGCGCACACATTGCAGAGCACTTGTGGCGGACTCACTTGTGGACTCGTGGACACCTCGCGTGCTCCCAGGGACCTGCCGTCTCCTGGGGGTCCAAGCTCGAAAGCTCAGTGGTTTTCAGCTTTCGTTCCAGGGGGGCCAAGCTTCAAATGCTTGCCGAGCTACAGAGTTCGAGTCTCCACAGATGTGCTTCTCCTATGGCTCAATGGGGAAAAGCAAAAGAAGAGAAGCTCTTCAAAACGTGTCAACCCAAATATGCTTTGTGCACGATGTTTTTTTGTGCAAGACACATAGATGCTGCAGCATGCTGTCGGTGATATGCACATGTGCAAATTGTACCCTGCCATGCAAATCCGGCAGTAGCTACTCAGCTACTCCAAAACGCCTACCATGCTAGCAGCCATTAGCAGCCCCAGCCTGGCGCAACCCAAATACAAAATAAACGCCACCGCCAAATTGGAGAGCGCTGGCACTCCCCATGATGTCTGGCTCTCAGATGTTCTAAGCGCTGACTGTACCTGCTTCGATCGCATGTTTGTTGGGGGCCGTGACATTGTGACATGCATTGAGATGCGCAGAGGCCTGCTGACGACAGTACCTTCTCCCCGGACGATATGGAGGCTCACGACCTCGACAGCCTTGCTGCAGCTCGAGGAGCGCAGGAGGAAGGCACCAGGGTTAGCCAAAGTTGTAGGATCGTAGGGTTGGTGTTGATGTTGCCTGCAAGATGTTGGCAGAGTGGTGGAGACCAGATCAGGCATGGAGGTGCCTGCAGAGCGGGAGATGACGGGAATGACCGGCTTGGACATGGAAGGAGGTTACCAGGGACAGACGCGAGTTCCAGAAGGTGCCACTTGCATAAAAGCCTTGGGTCCTTGGTCACCTCAAAGACATTCAAAGACCCAAAGAGCAGGTGATGCCGAAAAAGTACCTGAGCCACCGGATTGTGGCCTCTACAACGAGCATCTCAACGAAGAGAGCCCGAGCAACAATGCCGAGGACTGCTGCCGAGCCACTAGAACCGGCTCTCCTTGACCAGTTGCCAGTCTTTTTTCCAGCGCCCCATGACCTTGAAAATCGGCGCCTCTAGCTCCAGGAGTTCAACGTCGTTTTGCAGAAGCATCCTGGAATGAGGCACATGCGATCGACTTTGAGGTTGCTGCATTCGCTGCGATGCTGACTTGGTTTGTGTTCCTGCTGCCAGGCTGGGAATGGAAGTCGTCAGGGTGGCCGCGAACTAAGTGCGTTTCACGTTTCTGCAAATCGAGGCACATGCGCACCACTGCTCACAGCATAAGCATGTAAGAGCCTTCGCAGCTGGCCAGTGCGAGAAAGGACGGCGAGGTTGTCGTGCAGCACGTTGCAGAAGGCAAGCAGAAAAGCGGTTGCAAGCCGACAGAGCGACAGAGATCCCCTTAAAGACTTAGTGGAGGCATGTTGATTGGCGAATGGAACTCGAAGAACCCTGACGCCACTGTCAAGGCACTCTAACATCGCCGTGCCCTTTTGCGGTTGATTCTCATGGACCACTTGGTTCCTTGATCCGTGCAGGTGGGGGATGTCGTGCTGGCGGTAAACCAGCTCGGTGGTGCTCCTGGACGTCGACCTGAACACTCTTAAACCTTTCTTAGACTTTCGAGAGTTGAGGCAGTTGAGGCAGTATGCAAAGGTGAAAGTGCACCAAACCGTAGGCCCCAACGACACGCAGACCATGCTCGCGGAGCTCAGGCGCTCGTGAGATGCCGTGAGTGTCGCAGCATGACAATGTCATTGAATTAGAGCATATGATTGGCATCATTTTGGAATCTCTGCGGTGGTGCGGCTATCTGCAGTTGGCCTGATCGCCTGTGGAGGACTGCGGTCGTGCTCAACTTGCGCTTCGAACGTGGCCCCAGGGACCTCTCCAAAGCGCAGGCATTGCACCTTTGACGGACTCAGAAGTGCCCTAAGCGTCAAGAGGTAAGCTTGACGATTGGCGGGTCTTCGGAAGTCGCTATGGGTTTTATGCAGCCGGAGATGAAATCTTGAAAGCACAAAGCAGAAAGAGCGCGCGCGGGCTAGCACAATCTGCAACAGATGCCCGCGGCCTTGGCCTGGCTGCCCAAACGTGACACTTCCACACTTCCACGAGAGCAGTGATGCCGAGACCTTAGAAGTAAGTCGGGCCTCGGGACGGGACATGAAGCAAAACAGCCACAAACCTGTCGAAAATGAGGGAGCAATTCGTGCGCAATTCGTGCGCCAATCTGCACCAACAAGCCCTGCTTAGTGCATGCACTAAGTCACTATAAGGAGAGGCGCAGTAAGCTCGCGGCAGCCAATAGCATCTTCACGACTTGCCAATCGATGCAATGAAGACATTTTGGCACTGAATGGCTTAAGCCTGATTGTCACTCCTGAGTTATCTCTCATGCTGTCGCTATCGTAGCCCTGTTCTGGCACTGAGTGATGCCGGAAGACGGCAATTGAGTTCAGAAGATGTTCGCCCACCATGTTGGGAGCCTGTATGCCCGACACGAAAGGGCAACATGGACGATGCTGACTTCAAGTCGTTCATCAAACCGTTGTTCCTTAGACCTTCAGTTGCCTGCTGTCACTAGCCGGTGAGGAATTCTGAATTTTGGCAAAGGTGAGAACCGCGGAAGTAATTCACGAACCGCTCAGGTCAGGTGGCGACCTCATCCGAATGGCCCAAAAGAAGCTGATGGAGGAGGGCTGGAGACTGCGCGGTGGTGATTACTTGCTTCGGCATAGACGTCAGAAAGACAGGAGCAGAACCTACAACGAGCTCACGCTATGCAAGATGTCACAAGGCCGGTTTCACGGTTGTGCCGGCTCTCCTTTTATTAAAACAGACGCTAGTTGAAATTCGGGGCCCGAAACAGGCACCTGTAGCAGCAAAAGGCCTAAAACCCGCAAACCGTAGGGAAGCTGGGCCCCTGGATGTAGCCGAGAACGGGGTCGAGCTGCAAAACCAGGCCCAGGCTGGAAGAGACGCCTGTTTGGGTGCAAAGAAAGTGTTGACAGAACTTGTTTGCTGGGGGCTTCTGTTTTGGAACCTCGAGGCCTTTTTGGGCCTCAAGGTCTGATGGAGATCCTTCTTGGGTGTCGCGGAAGTTTAGAATGATGCGCCTGTTGGGTTTTTGTCTTGAGGGTTTAGGCTTTAGGGTCGTGGTTTCTGTTACGCGTTCCAGGGTTTCCGTTACAATCAGTACTCGGCTACCTCTTCGCCTGCAGCGTGGGTTGTGTTACAACCTTTCCCGGATTTCGCTACAACCAACTCCCCCTTAACCTCACAGGCAACGGAAGAACTGTGGAAACGCTTCGCTTGGTTCGTGTTTCTGTGAGGAGTGGCGGGACAGAAGAGCTGCCTCGTCCCACGTGGCAGGCCCGATGAAGCCCACCAGCAGCTTGACGGGGAAAACCAATGAATCCAGAAGTTAAAAAGACGGGGATGGGACAGACTTGGGAAGGCAGCAGCTGAGTGGACTTTGGATGGACATGGATTTGAGGACCGACTTGCCGAGAAAACACGAACCAAGGAATGTAGAGCGTAGCAGAGTTTCTGGCCAGATTTCTGGGCAGCAGGTTAAGCCACTGAAACACTTTGCCCTTCCGATGAACCTTGGCTTATCCTCTCCAGGAGGTGGCCTACCTGTCTGTCTATGGCTACAAAGCAACGAGCCTCGCCATAAGGTCAGGTACATGGCACAGGCTGCTGTAGTAGGAGTCGCTGCAAACGAAGCGTTTATTGTCCATGTTGATGATGTTGGGTCACTTGGGTCTTGGTTTCAATGGATTCTTAGCTTCAAATGTGCGCCATCTGAGCGCTGACTGCTCCGTGACTTGAAGTTCGTGCCGAGGGACAAGCGCACCTGGGACAAGGCAGGCCGACTTGGGCAACCTGCACAACCTGAGCTTGCAGTCACCTTCAGTCGCCGGAAAACTAGTAGATTGGTCAGTCCGTGACTCTGTGCGAATTGAATCGCAGGGGTATTAAAATGCAAGGGACCGTTGGCCAGTTTATGCTCTGCCTGCTAGACCGGAGGACCATCCCATGCCCTCGATCGAGATGACTCTAGAGGAGCACATGGAGCAGGCGTGTTGTGGTCTTCCCTGCAAGTCTCATCAAGATCCCACCCTGAAGCAGGCCGGAAACACTTGGTATCTTGTCCAGCCGGTTTCTCAGCGAGTAGATGAGCAGAATGATTGCATGGGATCGCATGTCGGGAGCGTGCGATGTTGGGAAGGTGCCGGCTTCAGCTCACGCCCTTTGACACAGAGGAGGCCGAGGGGCTGGCCTCTCCCCCCCCCCCTCCCACCCGCTTCAGGTGCATGGTATATTCTGGCAGCAGCATTCAGCAAAGGGGTGTAGCCGAGTAACCCCATGAGGAGGGCAAGAAGTTTGCCTCGGAGAAGTTGGAGTGGAAGGCGCGTGCTTGAACAGTTTGCTAGCAGCTGTCTCGCTGGCAGCGGCTGCTAGCAGGTACCGTTTGCAGCAACTGTTGGCAACAGAGGTCGTTTGGCTTCAAAGCTTCCTACAAGCATGGCAGAAGAAACCAAATCCAGATGAAAGAATGCTGGTCAACAGTCATTTGGTGACTATTTGCCTGGCACTGCGCCCCTGTGAAGGCACCTCGCAGATTGCATCACATGCGTGCTGACCTCCACGACCGCATGAAGTACTTCATGCAGGTTGCGGTTGTGCGCTTGGTTGCAATTCGAAGTGCAGAGAGAAGCCCCTCCTCAGGAGGATTTCTATGCCAAAGTTTTCGGCGAGACGCCGTTTGCAAGGCGAGGTAGCGTACCAGACATGTTTGTTTAGCCACCTTGCGAAACCGTTCCACAGGATATTGCCGGTCCAGTCACCGCATGTGTGATGCGCAGTATGGTGCGACCAGTGTGCGCTTTGTCATAGACTCTTGCTTTCATCTGACTTGGGTGCGGTTGGCCAAGTTGGCCAAAGATGGAACTCGGGCACGGTCGGGCACATATGACACGCAGTTTGGGAATGTGGCAAGGTCGTTGCCGAGCCTCACAGAATGCACATCATCGCCATCACACAAATTAGCAGTAGCTCCAGAAGTCTGTTTATAGAGATAGACAAATAGTCCAGAGAACTGCGCGAAGGCACTTGGCTATTTTGTATTGTTCGATGTCGCTTGTGCCAGAGAATATGCGCGAAAGCAAATATAACAAGATGCGATTCTTGTTTATGTGTTGTGGAAATCTGTAATCCTATATTTTGGAAACGAGCTGGGTTTTGCGCCTCGGTGGTGAATGCTTATCATGTGTTGCCTGTTATTACTGTACTGCCCTCCATTTTGAGATCAGCAAAGATGACGCGAATGTCTCCTCAGCGCATTTGAAGACCCGAGGAGCAGATTCAGTAGCCAAGGGCATGGCAGAGCATCCTGGATCTTCGGTCCCAGGATTATCCAGCCGAGTTGCTAGATCAAATCAAGGACTAAATCGTCGATTGGTTTCATTCATGCTGTCCTCCAGGCAGTGTCCGTGCAATCCACGTACCCAAGCTCAATCCGTTCTTACAGCATACTTACATTATCAGGTCAGCGAGGACACTGCGGGAAAATCATCAGGAAAGCAAACGACAGCATTTCGTGAGCAAATCCTTTCGTGGTTCGGGAACTTCGCTTGCAATTGGAGCGAGCTAGGAGTCGCCACAAATTATTCATCGTGCTTTACATGTCCAATCGTCAGAACATGTCACAACGAAGCCATGGAGAAAAGAACAACCCCACAGGCAAGAAGCACGCACATCCAACACGCAAAGATGCCGGTGCCGCATCGTACCTCTGGCAAAACAAGAAGGGATTGCAGATGGACCTGGAACAAGCCAGATCTACGTGACTCCGACATGGTTGCAAGAAGCATTGAATGGTGACCGTTCCGAGCAGTGCGTGAAAAAGTTCTCCGTGTACCCTTACTTGTAAGCTATAATGCATCTCGGGCACCAGCTCGTCGACGGTGGTTGCTACTGTGGTCCTGTGGAAGTATGTTGTTGGAAGTATGGTACATAAATCCATATACATGTATGCATATATTATATGTATATATATATATATACATATGTTTATTTATTTATTTTTTATTTATGCAACTGTGAGACACTGAGAAGGCGATTTTCTGCCGTTTGTCCTGAAAGGGTGCCTCATTTCTTCGCGAAAAAACTACAGCCCAAATAGACAAAATCGGGTGATTGGAGAGTGTCCCGGGAATTATTGTGGCTTTATCTTGCGCGCATCATGGATGGTCGCTGCCGCGCTTGATGTTCCCTTGCTTTCTGCTAGGTTCCCACACGTATGGCAAAAATGTGCGAGAAGGAATTATCAAATTCTCTGGCAATCTGCCGGCTACAGCTCTACCGTGACGTGAGTCACACGGGTCGCCCGAAAGTTCTGTGGCCAGGGCCAAGCCGAGCTTCAATTAGCTTTCAAAATAGCTGTTTGGTTGTCGCAGACAAACCTTCTACAATTAGCGAAATGGTGTTGAATTACGGGTAGAGGAGAATGCTCGGGTGCGGAGTTAGGTGCGGGTGAATTCTTAAATGCTGTTACGTTTATTTAGGCTGTAAAGCCACCCGTTTATATTTTGGAGCCAGCATGTTGCAAAGGTTGCATCAATGGACGGTTGCACTTAAATTTAGCGCCATGCAGCCCGCCCCGACCGGGGCTGCGAGGCAACCCAAACCAGAGATCGCGGGTGTGAAGGTCCCAAATACAAGGGTGCAATCTGGTGGTACCTGCTGGTACCCAGACGTAGGCCCGAGCCCTCGGCGGATTTGCCGTGCAGGGAAGCCATTCCTGCCCACGGGCGCAAGCTAGATGACCAAAGTTCTTGATTCAGCAATGTGCCAGGGGGTTTCAAACAACGAAACTTAACGAAACCATTGTTCAGTCCTTCTGCGTGCCGTTAGCCTGAAGGCACGGGGGTCTTCCAGGCACAACAGCCCACGTCTCAGAGCATCTCAGAGCTCTGCTCAAGTGCTCAAGAAAGGACCTGTGGGGATCCCGGTGCGGCCCTTGCGGTGTCCCTTGCGGTGTGCATGGTAAGGCCCGTCTGCGAGCATGGTTGGAACGGCTCGCCCAAGCCATCAACCAGAAGGAGGCCAGCTGGAGTTGAGGTGCACGCTATATCTTGCTATTGGTCTTGTTTCCTTGCTTTTGCTGTGCTTAAGTTGCGATTGCAGGTGCCACCGGAGGCTGCTGCACTGGTGTTGTTGTTTTTCCACGCCCCATTGCACGGCTCCAAGATGCTGCAAGCACAAGCGAAGCGATTCTTGTTCGATGTCGATGTGTGAGGCCTTCTCATGTTGAGGCTCCTCCAGCCTCTGTAGAGGTGCAGCTTGTCCGATTTGTCACGGTCATTCATGTACGGGCATAAAGCAGAGGGAGGGGGCGAGAGACAGAGAGAGAGACAACATGAAGAAGAAGATTTAAACTGCGAAAACGGTTCCTTTTCTGCTCGTATGGGCCTTTGCAAGCAGTCAATCTGCCCTAAGCCTGGGTACGCGCGTTGCTGGAAGCTGGGGGGGATGCCGGTGACCTCGGGGGCGAGCACCTTGCTTCTCAAGTCGCTTGAGTCAGCAGGCTGAAAGAGAAAGATGAAGAAAGACGGACATGGAGATACTTTGGATCGGCTCAAGTCGGCTCAGGACCGTGGACTGTGGATGCGACAACATGGTGAGAGCATGCGGAAGGGATGGGTTGTGGTGGGCAGCTCACGAAAATGTTGCTCCGCTCTCCCACGCCGGCCCAGAAAAAAGCTCCGGACAGGTGCGCTGGACGAGAGAGCCAGTGTGTCGTAGTATGTTGCAGAAGAGCAAGCGATCTAGCATTGCGAAGCAGATAGTTGGGAATGGAGCCGACAGTGGAAGGAAAGCGATGCAAACTGTTCCCTTAGGGTGATGGATCCGCCACGAGGGTTTTCAGTAGAAGCGCACACACTTCATTTCTGAAGAGCTCAGGAAGCCTTCAAGAGCAAGTGCCCTGGTCTTCTCGGTCTGAGCTTGTTCGGACGAGCCTCAGTGCACTGGGCACAGGTTTGTCATTGGCATGCGGCCACGGTTTAGTTCTTGATTGCCTCGGACGAAGGCAGAGTGCATCCCGGAAAGGGATCGGTTCTTCTTCTCAGTCTCTGTGGGCCAAGATGTTAATGTACCATATCTGCATAGGAGTTGTCAAGGCATGTTCGAGAAAGCCTTATTCGGCTTCTTCCTACAATTTGCCGTGGCTTCCCCGAACTTGCCTTGACTTCCTGGCCTAGACGCCCTCCAAAGGAGGTTCTGAAATTCTGCTTTGTGCAAAATGGCTTGACCGGATTGTCTGACAGTGCAAAGTCGTGCAGGCCTCGTGAGCCTGGCAGAGGCTGTTTTAGTGCTTCTATGAACTTCTATATGCATCTGTTGAATTGCAGGTGTGCCATCTCTTTGAGTTCTGTCAAGGTCCAAGTGCAAGCTCGCAGCAGCTCTCGCAGCATTTGGCAGAGTCGCCACTGGGCCTGCACCTCGGTGCCGCGGGTATCTCGTCTTTGCCGGTCTTGGTGTGTAACCTGTTCCGGGCTTGTTTTAGGCACAGCTGTGCCGCTACTGTTGGTCCGTTTCTGGTTTAAGTGAGCCCTGACAAGAAGGCAAAAGCTTTGGAGACCATGCCTAAATTGAGCCCACACCCTCACTCTTTACCTTGAGGGGGCTCTATGAGGCACGCCGCGGCGGTCTCCTTCTCATGATGCAGGCCATTTCTGAAAACTGGCATCTGCATGGCAGAGATATCCAGTGAGCCCGTTTTGAAGGCGCTGCTTCACCAGGACTTCCTTCCAGCAGCCCCTCCGCAGCAGCCGTGGACTTAGTCCCTACGCCAGCCTACAGAGCCCAGGGCGGCCCTCTTTTTGTCTATCTTTGTCTCCTCCTCTCATGCTCCTCTCATTGAGTCTTCGGTCCTTGCTTTTAATGCTCCGAGGACTTCAAGACGCCCATGGCTTGGAGCGGCGGCCCCAGCTGTGCTCTTAGGCTGCGAGTTGGCTTCGAGAGTGCATCTGAGAATCCTTCGCGCTGTTGGGCCACAATGGGGTGTCTAAATAGGGTGCCCCAAAAGTTGGTACACCATGAGCTGTGGAATTTTCGGAAGGCTCGGGGGTTGCTTCGCTGGATTTCGGTGGGGCGGCGCCTGGCAGGGTGCTCGGAAGCGCTGAGAATGCAGAGGATGTGAGCAGATCTGAGCACTGCTTGGGCCAAGGCCAGGCTGGCGGGTCGCCCGCAGGCTACAAGGCCTTGACCCGATACGTCCAAATCTTCGGCTCTGGCTTCTCCCATCTTCTCACGCATCTTCTCACCCTTTTCGATAACTCAGAACATGTAGGAAGAGAGCGAACCGGCGCCGAAGCTGTCCTCCCAGAGCCCGGCGGATCAGTCACTGCTGCCGGCCAAGGCCTCGACAGAGAGCTCCCTTTGCTTCTTAGCCCCTTAGCCCCTGAGCCTCCTAGCCTCTTAGCCAGCAAGATGAAAAGGCAAGTTTTGGACAAAGTGATCCACTGACCAGGCATCCGATGGAGATGAATGGCGGGGCTGGACCATCCAGACGTAGATCGCTCAAGGTGCTCCAGGTCAATGCAAGTTGACACTGTCCGGCATTGTTCATCCCTTCCGTAGAGTGTGTTCTCGCAACTTGACGTTATCAACTGAGGTCCTCCCAGGGCAAGCTGTTCTACCACCATACAGCATCCAACTCCTCTCAATGGCCAATTCCTTGGCAATGCGGCCAATGCTGCATCGTACCACATAAGTGTGTGTGGCAGGTTCCCCGATGTTGTGTTGCTGATGTTGCTGACACAAGCTGCAAGCGGCTATCACGGCTTACCTGCCCCCCAAATGTTACTGTGTCTTTCTCAAGGCAGGCAGTCGAGACTGGTAGCCGGCCTTCCTTCGCATAGCTGCCGCAATGCCGCACGTCTTCAACTATGACAAGAACGAGTTCGAGCAGGTGCACTACCTCAAGGCCTGCGCGCACAGCTGACCTCGTCGATCACATGCGCGTATGGAAGTCTGACAGGTGCCGCAGCGACCCAGCACGCCACGTGGAAGAAAGTGGAGGGATTCTCGTTGTTGACGTTGCTGAGTCGTGGGTTGGCTTCGGACGACTTGCTTGTTGGCTTGCCAGCCGAGGGACGTAAAGAAGCGCCAGCGCGTCTCCGAGAGCATGAAGTTCCTCCTTGCGCAGGAGGCCACGCAGACCAAGAAGGAGGAGGCCAAGTGTTGCCATGTTCACCCCTCCGTGCCATGTTCACCCCTCCAAACCCATCACCTCATGTCGCCTGTGTCCAGCTGGCGAGGCAAGGGCGAAGCGCAAGGAAGCCATGAAGGACTGAGCTGGACGGACGCAGCTCTGCGCAGCCTGCGTACTCTGACCGGGATGCCTTGGAACGGATGCAACGAAAGCCTTGCCAAAAAATCAGCACTCTTTGCAGGTGCCTTTTTGCCGTGGTGATTTGAGATGTGACAACTTGTCACATGCAGCAGAACACTACAGCGGCACTGTTCGAGTCTTCATATGTTGGGGGTAAAGTATGACATGGGCTGTCGTTGCCTGAAGCTGTGCTTCTCGCACAGAATGACTGGCGGTGCCTTGGGAAGTGGACAAAGGTCTGCCAACTTTACTCTTAACTTGATGTGGATCCTTTTTCTGCAAACTGCGCCCCTCTCAAGGCAGGCAGTCGAGACTGGTAGCCGGCCTTCCTTCGCATAGCTGCCGCAATGCCGCACGTCTTCAACTATGACAAGAACGAGTTCGAGCAGGTGCACTACCTCAAGGCCTGCGCGCACAGCTGACCTCGTCGGTCACATGCGCATATGGAAGTCTGACAGGTGCCGCAGCGACCCAGCACGCCACGTGGAAGAAAGTGGAGGGATTCTCGTTGTTGACGTTGCTGAGTCGTGGGTTGGCTTCGGACGACTTGCTTGTTGGCTTGCCAGCCGAGGGACGTAAAGAAGCGCCAGCGCGTCTCCGAGAGCATGAAGTTCCTCCTTGCGCAGGAGGCCACGCAGACCAAGAAGGAGGAGGCCAAGTGTTGCCATGTTCACCCCTCCATGCCATGTTCACCCCTCCAAACCCATCACCTCATGTCGCCTGTGTCCAGCTGGCGAGGCAAGGGCGAAGCGCAAGGAAGCCATGAAGGACTGAGCTGGACGGACGCAGCTCTGCGCAGCCTGCGTACTCTGACCGGTATGCCTTGGAACGGATGCAACGAAAGCCCTGCCAAAAAAAGCAGCACTCTTTGCTGGCAGGTGCATGTTTAAGGCATCGCCCGATTTTGCAGTTTCCGCCTGTGCAGTAGTTGCTGGTGCTCCGGATCTAAAAGCTCAGGCAGATGCCTCGAGAGCTTGCGCCAGTTCTGGGGGAGTCGCGCCGGCAAGATTACGGGACAGTGAATTTGCTGCATGATACGTACTATGGCCATCGAAATCACATCATCGGTCTGTGTAGCGGCATGGTGTTGTGTTACCGATGTGCGCTGACAGGTGGACCCAGGCAGGCTGCTTGGTGCGAGTCCAACATCACGCAATCTGCTCTCGAACCCCAAATCGTTCCCTGTTCACTCATGCATTTTTTGCGCTGCCAGCTCGGTGCTAATGGCGGCAGGTCATGAAAACTGCTGAAACTGCACTCCAGCACAGCTGCAATGCGCATGTCTATTGCCCCCACAGCAGCGCAATGTAACAGGTGGAGGAGGACGGCAAGAAGCCCCCAACTTACGGGCAAGACATAGGCTACTTGCACTGGGTCGACATACCCATGGCCACCCACGACCTGGACCTGCCATTTCTAGGTATTGGCGCAATGAGAAGCTGAGCGTTTCATCCTGGAAGGACCTGTCGACTTTTCGAAGTCCATTCTGCAACCTGTTTGTAGTGGCAGCAGTAGCAGCTTTGTTCTTGTGAAGTGGGCTTCTGGTCAACAACTTTGTTCAGGATCCGAGGCGCACCACGACCCTCTTCCAGGCAAAGTCCGTTTCACTTGAGAATCCTTCGCCGGTCATCTGACTGAATATGTGCCAAACCTGGTGCATGGATCAAGTGCAAGGCTGCTCTAGATGGAAATCTTTTCTTCTTGCAGCTCTACACAGAGGTTGGTGGTTTTCTGGATGCAGTCACACTCCCAGCTGTCGCAGAAGTCTCCGCTAAGCTCCTATCTGACTTCAGCCGACCTTGAGGTGGACGGTAAGGGCAGAACGGCTCTCCACTACAACTGCGCCGGGGGATCCTCACAGGCCCATGAATGCTCTTCGTCAGGCATTTCCGATCCTAGCACGATGGCATGACAAGATTTGAGGCCGTACACTACCTACTACAACACGGCGCAAGCGTTCACTTGCCTGACCTGTCGGGTCTTGCCCCCGATGAAGTGCACCATGCGCGAGCTGCATTGCCCGGTTTTCTGAGGCTCCACTCCGCTACACTGGGCAGCCCGCTATGGCCACGCCCCAATTGTCAGGCAGGTTTTGTGCTTCGGAAGCTGTGCATCGCCGTGCTCTTTCCAAGAGCAAGAGAGCTGCTTTTGAGAGGCTGCTCCTGGAGTCCAAAGCTAGCCCAGATGAGCAGAACAACATGGGCGACACTGCCATGCACGAGGCGCAGCAACCTGTGGATGACACAATGCGGAGTGCCAAATTGGTACAAATTACCCCGTAACCCTAAAACCCAAAAAAACCCTGAACGCCCTGAACCCTAAACCCAAGACCCCAACGGCGTATGTACGGCCGCGTACCCAGATTGTTACGCGGAGGCGGCGGCCCTGGGCTTGGTGGAGCCCCTGCAGTGGCTGGCGGCGGGCTCAGACACATTGAAGCCAAGGCTAAACCCTAAACCCTGAACCCTAACCCCGTTCTCAGGGAGTTCACCGGGGAGTTGTAAACAGACTTTCGACACCGGAACTCAGGTGGTCGCCAAGGCCAACTTGTCGCTGAGAAACCGGGAATCCCGGACACCCCTGGAGGCCGAACACACCCGAGCGGTGGTGCATAATCCCCCATTGTCACTTACATGCTCGACGTCGAAGATCGATGGAGCTTCTCGCAAATGAGCCGCTGGGGCCAAGACAACCACATACTGCATCATGGATGGCATCCACATTGACATGCCCCACACCTCGACATCAGCACAACAATTTGGCCTCGGAATCTGGGCACGAGCGTTGGAGAGTAGCAGAGAGGAACTGTCATGCCATGATTTGCAACGCGAACAGTGGAGCTGACGGAAACACCGCAACAGCCAAAGTAGGGTTGGCGATGCGCAGCGCCCGGCTGAGCGCCGTGCTGGCTTGCTTTGTGCTGAGCCATGCCGAGCTGCTCTGCTGGCGCAACTCGGTTCCGCAGAGGAGCAGCTTCGCTGGAAGCATGCGGTATCACATGTTTTGGTGTTGGCCGCTGGCATGAACCTTCCCCCCCGATGATGAGATGCCCATCCTTCTAGCAAAACATGCAATTTGGCTTGTAGAACGACAAGACTTTCAACTTTATAAATGTGGAGCAACGAGAACAACGAATCTCTTCTAAGTCGAAGGGAGGAAAGTGACGACAATGCTGCTCAGGAATGAGCCAGTGGAAGAGAAACTTTCTGTCCCTCACATGGCAGCTGAATATCAATACCTCGGAGCTGCGAATCCTGCGAGGAGCCGCAGCGCTTGGTCCAATGCACGGTGTTTGCTTCAGAGTTCTGCAGAGGTTCGTGCAGTTGCGTTCATGACGTGATGCACTTCTGATACGACAATCGTGGTGTGACTGGCACTTGTGCTTGACAGGTGCCGCAGTGCTCCTGGCGCGTTGCCAGTCGAAGCCCGACACGCTGGGAAGTGGCAAGCTTACAGTCCTTTCAGCAGAGGCGAGACAAGGCACTGCAGCTTCTACAGCGCAAGTTGGCTCTTTCTCTTGAACGGATGATAACGGATGGAAGCAGCGTGCAAGAATCTGCAAAATCAAGGTCTTGGCAACACTGGATTCGCACTCTGACGCGCTCTGTGGAGTTGCGTGGTCTCCGAACCAGCAGCGGATACTCACAGCCAGCGCAGATGGAACAGTGGGCCTTTGGGAGGACAAGCCGTTTATGCTACGCTCTGCTTGGAGGCTACACACTAGTTGCGCATGGAGTGTTTGCCCCTCGTCAGGAGCAGAACAGCAGCTACTCTCTAGTGCAGAACCACGAGCCCGACGCGTGGCAGCTTGTGGCGCCTTACCTCGAAGCGACGGAAGACCAGTTCAAGAGCTTTGGTGTTTTTCCTCGCTGTTCTACTGTTCAATATTGCTCATGGAGTTTGGCATGGTGTTGCTTTCTTGAGGCCGTCCTGGGCTCTCGCAGCCAAAGCCCCGTCCGCGATGCGACGTGGTCTCCCGACAGCCAGCTGATCCTGGCTGGAAGCCTGGACGGCTCTGCCAGGGTCTGGCGGTGTCTTGGCAATTCTTGGCACGAAACACGGGGCCTCGTAACCAAGAGGCCCCTTGTACTAAGTTATTGTTAGCTTTATAATTTATCCCATGAATCTCCATCTGAATTCTTACCGGGGATCCTGAACATGCTGAGCCCCGAGACAGAAATCGCCCTCTTTGCCTTGCAAGGTCTGCTGGCAATGCCAGCCGGATCCTGCGGAACACGACGGCCGCGATGCTCGAGGACAGCGACAGCGACAACGACTCGGCCGAAGACAACTTCACCAGGCCAAGAAGGGAAGAGGTCGGAGAGAAAGCCTGACAGCGCACACAGCCCTCTCGCTCTCCCTCTCTTCTTACTTGTTTTTTTTTTTTCTCTCTCTCTCTCTCTTGCACTCTTGCGCGTAGTCTATATCGCACACCTTGAGGCTGAGACCTCCGGCCGTCCAGGGGCGGCTCCTGGAGCCTTGGTCCGTGCACTCCATGCTGCAACAATCGGACACCGCGCTGGCATCCGGGTTGCTGTTGGTCAAATTGTGGAGAGCGTTCCTGAGATATCGAAGGAGGAGAGTCACGAGTAGGGGTTCTAACCATGACAAAAACGTTTTTACAATGACAAGGGTTTCTTTGACAATGATAGTGGTTTAGGGTTGGCACGATAGAGCGATAGAGCTTCGAGCTTCAATTCAGTCCCAATTCAGTCCCAAATGAGGCCAAGAGCTTCAATTCAGTCCCAATTCAGTCCCAAATGAGGCCAAGAGCTTCAATTCAGTCCCAAATCAGTCCCAAATGAGGCCAAGAGCTTCAATTCAGTCCCAAATGAGGCCAAGAGCTTCAATTCAGTCCCAAATGAGGCCAAGAGCTTCAATTCAGTCCCAAATGAGGCCAAGAGCTTCAATTCAGGCCAAGAGCTTCAATTTAAAATCTCAATTCTGAGGGCTTTGTCACTCCCATGTGGGTCTGGGGGGGGGGGGCACCCGCAGTGACAGAAAGAACCTGGTTTTGGAGTTTTGGGAGGCCCAAAACCTCAATTCTCAGGTTTTTTTGTCACTCCCATGTGGGTCTGCGGGGGGGGGGGGGGGGCACGCGCAGCGACAGAAAGAACCTGGTTTTGGAGGTTTGGGAGGCTTAAAATCTCAATTCTGAGGGCTTTTTGTCTGGGCGCAGTGACAGAAGTTTCATGGGGGGGGGGGGCGCCAGTGACAGAAACAACCTGGTTTTGGAGCTTTGGAGGACAGGGGGGGGGGGGGGGACAGAAAGAACTGGTTTTGGAGCTTTGGGAGGCTTAAAATCTCAGAGGGCTTTTGTCACTCTGATGTGGGTCTGGGGGGGGGGGGGGGTGTGTGTGAGCAAAACCGGGTCTATTTAGAAGCTGGGGCTTGTGATTTATAATACAGGTCCATATACCTAAATGTAATAAACCTAGAAGAGCACGGCTTCTAAATAGACCCTACGGTCGGATTTCAAAAGGACGTTGGCAGAAATTAATAACTGTAAAAATTTTAATAATTTTCATAATTTTAGTAATTTTAACAATTTGAATAATTTTAATATTTTTAATAATCCTGAGAGGCTCCCGGAAAATTAAAATTATTAAAATTATTAAAACTATTAAAATTATTAACATTATTGTTAAAGCAGCACCCTGACAGCAGTGTGCCGGACTGTCGCTACGTCTCTCGAGGGCGCCCTTTGAGGTAAAAGTTAGCCGCCACGCTTGCGCCACGCTGCTGGCTTGCTTTTGATGGTGAGCGGAGCCCGTTGATTTCGGGTATCTGCTGCTGCCGCCGCCGTGCTGCAGCGCTTGAGCCCTGCACTTTCTGCCGCCGCTACCACGGTGGCATCCTTTTCTCCGCTTTTGGCCCGCGCCACCTCGGTTGCCGGCCTGTTTCTCCAACGTCATGTCCTACCTGAAGCTGGACGTTGACCGCTACGGTGTCCCCCAGTACGCCGGCGAGCCGGAGCTCTACGAGGAGTACACGGAAAGGGCTTGGGATCTGTTCTTTGGCCGAGCTGGAAATGATAGCACCCAAGCTGCCACTCCGATTCACCTCCGCTCTGGATTGACCAATGCTGCGTACGAGGCCGTGCGGAAGCTGGATCACAGCTCCCTGATCACGAAGGGCACTGATGGAGTTCCCAACGACAAGGGGATGAAGTTGCTGCTGCAGACCCTGAAGGACAACATCGCCCAGGAAGCCCCGGTGAAAACCAACGAGCTGTTCTTCACGGCGTTCTATTCTCCGGGAATTTGGCGTGGTCAGAACGAGAGCATGCAGCAATACATTGTCCGTCGGGAACAAGACTTTAAGCGACTGGAAGAAGTGCTCAGTGGAGGCAAGGTCCCCGAACACCTTCGCGCGATGATGTTGCTGACCTTCGGTGGCCTTGATCACCGAGAACAGCTTAGTGTCCTCAGCTCCACTGGAAACGAGTACAACCTGGACAAGATCAGCAAGGCACTTCGGATCCAATACCCCACCTGTTCGGGGAAACCTGTCTTCCGAAAGGACTACCTTGGTTGTGGCAGAGCTGCTGGAAGCCAAGGTCCAGCGCCGTCAGCCAAGTTTAGGCCTCGTCCCCCAAAAGGGAAAGGGAAGAATCGCAACTATGTGCTCGCCGTCGCCGGTGGCGAGAACGACGACGTCGAGGACGAGATCCTCTATGAAGATGAGGAAGAGCTTGAGGGCGAAGAAGCCTATGAGGTCGACGAGTGCCCGGAAGACACCCTCATCGACTCACTCCTCGCTGACGGCGACCTGGCTGAGGACCAAGAGTTCACGGAAGCCCTCGCGACTGTCATGCAGAAGAAGAAGAAGGACCACTCAAGTCGGCCGGTGCCTGGCCAGAGCTTCAACTTCAAAGCCAAGGGTGAGATGAGCATTGACAAGGCCAAGGAGAGCCGCAAGAGCGCGGTTCGCTTCTTGAAGACCATCACTCCCTGCACAAGCTGCGGACAGAGAGGTCACTGGCAGGGTGATCCCGAGTGCCCCAACAAGAAGCCTAGCAAGGGTTCTGGCCCAAAGAAGCGAGCGATGCCGAAGAAGAAGGGGTCCCCCTCGTCCTTCTTCGTTCAGTCCGACCTTGCGAGCATCGATGGCTTTGCGGACGTTGATGCTGCCGGTGCCACGGTCCTCTTTGCGGCCTCCGACGACCTCCCGAACATCAACTCCCCAACGTTTTCCTTTGGCATGTTCAACAATGGTTTCGAGCTGGCCAGCGCTGACAGCGAGTCCTTCATGGTTCTTCGCGACACCGACCTGTGCGAGCACAGCTCCTACAATGGAGGTGACGAGAGGAAGTTTTTCAGATCAGCCAATGGTCACATGAGAGGCATCCATTGCAAGGACGATGTTTGTGGTCGTGCCGTCATCTCGGCGCAACGCAAGGAACCCGTGCAGCTGTGGAAGTACTTTGTCCTCGTGGCGCTCACGACGAAGTGGGGTTCCAAGTCCCGGTCTCGGGAGGTGTACCAGTCTGTGTCTCGCGCCCGAGACCAAGCTCGTGCAGAAAAGGAGAAGGAGGCCGAGGTTGAACTTCAACGCCAACATGACCTTCGCGGTGGTTACCCTTCTCCGCTGCCAGTTCCTTTCCTCCGACCGCCCTCCGCCGCTGCATCGTCTTCCATGGCGCAAGACGACTGGAGCGTCCTTAACGTCGAGCTTGACCAGCACATGAAGCCCCCCAAGGCGAAGATCGTGAGACCGGAGTCCATCAAGCAACGGGCATGGGTGTATGGAGTCTGCATCGCCTCGGACACTTGCCTGCCGGCATTCCCTGAGTTGGACCAGGAAGACCAAGACATCCTCCAACCCCTGCCCTCCGACAACGACATGCTTGGAGCCGACACGCCTTTCTGCGGGCGTACTTTCGCAGACGTGGCTTCGTCTGCTGACGGGACCATCTTTTGCTCCTCGATCCTCAACTACGCCTTGGCCAACAACCCAATGCAGCCGACGGCGTACCGTTTCAGCTTCTACCTGTACGGTCGTTTGAAGCTGGTGAAGGGCGCAGTCGACCGGATGAGCGGCAGCAGTGCGGATGGACAGAAGCGCGTGCATCGCCCAGGTGATATGGTGACCTCAAGACAAATCCGAGTGCCGGTCAGTATGGACCCGAATCGCCTGGACATTGTGACTGAGCAGGACTGCGACGTCATGATGGTGTCCCAAGCCGACTTCCAGCTTGGAGAAAGATGCACGAACACGCCGCTCGCCGACGAAGTCGTTCCCGAGACCTACGTGACCTCTGAAACCGACCCGCCTGGCCTCGCCATCTTGGACTCTGGCTGCACCAAGACAATGCATGGAGAGGTTTGGGCAGAGCGATTCGAGGCTGAGCTGGGCAAGCGCGGCCTTTCCCACCGCGCGATTCCAAAGAAGCAGACTTTCAAGGGAGTTGGAGGCCAGATCCAGAGCAAGATCGCCAAGATATACCCCATCGGCCTTGCCAAAGTTCATGGGGAGATGTGCTCTTCCGAAGCCCCCGGCGCACTCCCACTTCTTCTGTCCCGACCTTTCATGGAGGAGCTCGGCACGGTGATCGATATTGGCCAGGGTACAGTCTCTTTCAACCAGCTTGGTGTTCAGAACCTCCCACTTCTTCGAACAGAAAAGGGGCATCTGGCTGTCAACATTCTTGACTTTGACCCAGAACAGCTCCCCAAGAACGAGATCTACGCCGCCGCCACCGATGAGACTGCAGAGAAGCTGAACATGTCTGAGGAAGACTTCAAGTGGTGGCGCCGCCAGACCCCTGCCGGATGGTCTGTGAAGGACTTCATCGAGTGCCAGGCCAAGCTCGACTATGCCACCGACTACCCCGATGTCCCGGAAGGGTGGAACCCCGACGACTTCGACGACTACCGCCTCCGACAGGAAGTGTTAAGAGACGAAGTTGCTGCCTGGGAATATGCAGGCGGACGAGTTCCGGAAGGCCGTGACGGCGACGTGAACGAGGACGTGCTCTTCTTTGAGACTGAGATTGCCCGACAAGAGCATACCTTCCGCAAGGTGAGCAGCCGAAAGTCGAAGAAATTGTTGGCCATGTCCACGTCCCTCGACGGCTATGACTTTCAGCAGCGGCTTGTCTTGGAAGGAAGGGCGAGGGTCAGCCACAGGCCCCCCTATGGCAAGGTGTGGGTCAAGCAGTTGTTTGCAGGACAAATGGCGCTCACAGTCCTTTGCGCGTTGGCAGGCATGTGCGCAGGATGTCCGCTTGACGCTTCCTCCTCCGCTTGGGATGCATCCACTGCAGCCGGTCGTCGCATGGCACAGTATGACTTGAAGGTCGAGGACCCCTACCTCACGGTGATCGCGCAACCTCGTGTCCCTACAGTGGAAGCTCGACGTGAGGACGGGCGCAAGGTGCTTCAATTCATCGCCAAGACCATTGTCGACCGGATCAACCAGAAAAGACATGTCCTTGTGGAGCAGCCGAGGGAGTCCCAGTGGCTCCAGCAACCCGAGCTCAAGGAAGTGGCTTCCCTCATCGACCGCGGCGATCTCCTT